TGTCTGTAAACCTGACCATAGTGGGAGTGGCCTGCGGTGCTGTGCATTCTGGGATTTGGTGTCTTTCATCCACAAAGACACTTTCTGTCTTTTCTCAGCCAAGAAGGCACCAACTTCAAAATGTAATTCACATTTCTACATATATGACCCAATGTCAATACAGATTGTACAGATCAATACAGGAAGTATCCCTTTAATGTTCTGTTAAAAAGTTTCCATTAGACACCCGAGCAGCCGTGTTGATATGTCTTTTATCAAGAATTTTGTTGTTGATCAGTTTGACCCAGAACGACCGGAAAAAGGTCTCGCTGCCTCGTTGACTCTCATTCATTATGACGAGGCCCTACAGACACTATTCTTCAGTGTTATTGCTGCAGGTGGTAAATATTTCCTTTTGCCATTGTATCCCTTTTCCATGGATTAATGCAAGAATATCTGGCATGCTGTGCAGCTTAGTCAGGGCAGTGAACAGAGAATGATAGGAATGCATTCCTTACATGGCTGCTTCTGCTGTCATCACAGCTAGATGGAATAACAGATTTATTTCATTCAAATGGTTGATAAATAAAACATTGGTTATGGATGATGTGTTTAACAAGGTGTGCATGCTTCTTATCAGAGCGCCAAGCTTTATGACGAACTCTGACAGACCGTACAAAAGCTGTAAATGTTTTGCTTATTGTGGTGACAGAATTAAAGTGATTCTGTGTTTACAGTAATCATCAAATCTTTTACCACAGTAACCTATCAATTCAACGACCAGCTCATAGGTCACACAGTCAACAGCAAAGGATTTTGAGAGCCAGGATATCCTGTTCTATTGGGGTGAAAAAAGGTTGTGCTCAGGAGCAGGCTCTATAGTAACACCATGCTGCTGTCTGGCCTAAAAGATATCAGACCAGTTCACATGCTTTTTGAAATGTGGGCCTTGATCAGACTGACTGTTGCTTTATGTTTCAACATCTTTTGGATCCCTCCTTCACTGCACTGCCTAACCTAAACCCTTACTACAACACAGCATAACTGCATGTTAAAAAAAGTAATTTTTTCACAATTTTGTGGTGCACTGATAAAAATATATATATATTCTGGAAGCAGTTTTGTATTTCCTGTTTCCTTCCAGTCTTTGTGCTAGGCTAAGCTAATGACTCTTGCTTTAAACCTCTTATCAAACTATTGACACAAACATACGTCTCTATACTTAAAAAAGTTTGAATCATAGGGGTCTTAATTTATTTAGCTCCTTGCATCACACTATTTCCCTTAAATTGCAAGTTTATGTGCTATTTGTACTCGTTGTTTTCATGAGGTGAATGTATTGATCCTAAAACCACCAGTTTTGATTTTAAGATTTTATTGAAATAGATTTTAACAGTTGAAGGTATGAAACAACAATTCCTTATTTTTTTACAAAAAACACAGAAAAACAGGTTATAACAAAAGACTAAGCAGGCTAAGTTTAACTTATGGTGTTTCTGTCCTTCCAAGAGGCCTTAAGGAAAAGAAGAACTCATGTGATACTGATAATATCATAATAACTACATGTTGGAACACTTTTCTTTAAATGCATGTTACACATACAGAATAGCTTTTGACAGGATTAAACACTTAAGGCCTAATTAATCCTGTGTAATAATATCATCGTTCCAGAGCTGTGAAGTCATTTGAAGCGTTTGTGTTTTCCCTGTCCAAAAAAAAAAAGACAATGAACAAAGCTTGGCTCTGCATGCCAGTATTTTTCCACAAGGACAATAATCATTCGTTTCCTCTTGGGGACGAGGAGGGTATGCGCCGAATGGCAGTTGGTGGAGGAGTTTTAAAGGTCTGTCAGAGATGGGACTGATCAGTCAAAATTCAAAATTCAAACCGGTTTGAAGTGGAGCACTGTCACACTCAAAGTCTTGTTTCAGTGTTGATGTAAACAAACCACCAACACAAGAGAGCTGAAGTCAAAAACATGCAGCTTTAATATAATTTGAGGGGAAACACATTTTAAGGTCGTTGTGAAAATGTAAATATCAATTAGATAAGTTCTACTACGTGGGAGATGTTCATGTAAACAACTCAAAGAAGACCGTGGTAGAAGAAGTGTTCAGAGTCGTACAGAGGTTGAAGAGAAGCCTTCAGATACAAAATAAACATCAAAAATGAGTTATCATTATGCAGATGCATGATTCATGTGGCTATTGGAACAAGGCACAATATTTCTTAAACTGATGATTATTTTTAGACCTTAAGTTTGCTTTTTCTTGTTTTGTTATTTTGTTTTTATACCAAAGAATAGAAAGTTAAAGAGAGTATGTAGTATGCAAAAGTAAAGTCATTTACATACAGGAATTATGAGCAAATTTTCCTGATACTTATCTTAGGATAAGTAATGAAGGTCAGTCTGTTTGTCTCACATTTGAATATCTCAACAAAAGCTAACCAAATGGAAAGCAGGGACACTCTGCAGTCATCATGATTAGACACTCTCGAATTTCACTGAAATATTTCAACATTTGTCATTTATTTACTTTCATGAAATGCAGTACACATCTCAGTTCTCTGGTGCAGAGCTCTCAACATCTCATTGGCCCTCTACAGCCAATAGCAGGTTCACTTTTTTTTTTGTGGTTTTGAGAAAATGTTTCCACAACTGTTGAAAAGAGAACCATAGAATAGAAGTGTTCATTATCTCATAGTCAGCTGCCTAAACGCATGAAATTCTGATGATATCGCATAATAATCAGCTGTACTTCAAGTATGGTGGTAAAATAAGTGTGCAAAGAAGCTAAATAGGTGTTAGCATTTAGCTCCTATACCTCATAGCACTTGGGTAGAGGCCGCACAGTATAAACAGTAAAGTTTGTGTGTGAAGATGTGTAGCTTTACCTGCACTGTTTATCACTTTTAGTAATTCACCTATGGAATTTAATGATTATTTAACTGACATGTTTTTACCAACGAATGAATGTATTTTGTTATTTTGCTTCTGCATCAGAGTTCTGTGAAGTCCAAGACAAATTTCCCACTGGGACAATAAAGTTAATCTTAAATGGAAATGTATTAAACTATATATTAACAAGCTCATTAAAAAAAAAAATTAAAAAATCAAAACTAACAATGTAATATCAACCAGTTATATTTTGGACTTATTCCTTTTACTTCATTTTATTACTGTAAATTTGTTGCCCCATACTTTTGAATATCTTGTTTTTTGTTTTTGCTTTATGTCATGTACTCTTCTACTCTTTCAGTTTAGAGACTTCATAAAAAAATCCCAATTTTTCAAAATGTTATTTCCAAGAGTATGAAGGCTCTGATTATACTGTAGCAAATTACATTAAAAGAGAAACAAGAAGACAAAGAAGTGATTGTATGAGCAGCCCAGAAACTATGTGAACTTTTCATAACTTCAGAATTTGTTTGAGGTATGCATGAAGGTCATAGAAGGATGTTGATTTCTAAGAAAAAGTAGAGATGACTCAAGGTCACATGTGAAAAAATGCAGCCAATCACACCCTTGACAGAGTTAATGATGCGTAGATGCTATGCAATAACTTCCTAAGTCAGCATCACACTATCGTAAAGAGGAATGTGCCCTTCTTTCTGAGAGTTAATTAGAGGTTTCAACTCAGTATTTTTTATATTTTGAAGGTGTGTTGTGGACATTTCATGATCTCTGAGCGAGTCCCTAAAAGAGATTAATTTTGAAGTGTTGATTTTATAAAACTGTGAATAAGTTAACATGTTCCATAACCATATGGACCATTATGATACTGCTGAACTGTGATGTTTGAAAGCTGCATGGATGTATCGAGCCAAACTGGTAAAATTAGAATATTTGTAAGCCACTTATCCAAGCTTTCTCATTGGTTTAATCTTTTTGTGTTGCAACAATCGCCCAACTTTACAAGTCCTCACGTAAGTTCATTATCTCCCACTGTTACTTTTCCTCTGTCACATCATAAAGAAGAAGAACACGTGTCTTATTTATCTCCACAAAACTTTATTTCAGTCTCAGAAAATACAATTCAATTCATAAAAATAACAAAGTGTACTCTCTCAGAAATAAAAGACATGTTTTAAGCTCTTTCACATACAGACATTATATCAGTCATCATTTATTGAACACTATGTTACAATGAATGAGAGGAGTGTATCATCATGTTATGGCCCTAATGTTTTGGACTGAAGTCATTCATCGCTGTTGTCAAATTTTAAAATGCATTTTCCTTTGGGAATGTTCTGCAACCACAGCTCAGAGGGCCAGTTCAACTCCTCGCTGAGTTACTGAAAATAAAGTTTACAATTCTACAATTCACTTAGCAGACGCTTTTATCCAAAGCGACGTACATCAGAGAGTAAGAACAACACAAGCAAGGATCTAGAAAAAAGGGAACAATGTCAGTAAGAGCAAACGATCAGCTTTGAGTCTGATTGGACACACAGGTGCTGACAGGAAGTGACCAGAGGCAAAGCACAACATTGAGGGCAGTTCTTGAGAGCTCTAATCAGTATAGAAACCATCTTATAAGTCGTCATTATCAAACAAAAACCATCGTCATTACCATCATCATCATCAATAATATGGAGACCATCATCATTAAGTTAGTAGGTATTCATGAAAGAGCTGGGTCTTTAGCTTTTTCTTAAAGGTGCAGAGTGAACTCGTCCAGTCATGTCATCTGGCATCCGGCAAAAATAAAAGAGTGAAATGTAATTTCTGTTCTGCATTATCATCCTCTAATGATAATTAAATAACATACAATCTACTACATGACAAAGCAGATTCATAAGATAACCTTTAAATAAATGTTGTTATCACTGTAAAATGTTTTCAGAGCATTAAACTGGACTATATGCTTTTTTGTTTTGACTTTTTTTCACTTGTGCATTGCACACTAAGACACCATTGGTAGGAAGTTTATAAAAGATGCACTTGAAACCAATTTAAATGACATTTCAGCACTGCTGCGCACTCAAGATACATAGACAAACAAGAGATACACAAAAGATGGATACACAAAATATATCAGAGTGATACAAACAGCACAACTTCAACACACTTTTAAACATGATTAAACACAAAGTCAGAAATACAGAAACCCACACAGAATCATCAAGATTGGTCTTTGTTATTTTCTCTCTCATGGTCCAAGAGTTGATCAAGAGGCTGTATGATGGATTGGAAAAGTAACAGCCACGGAAATATAATTTTAAACAAGAACACAGTAGTCTCAAACACAATGTGTAAAACACTGTAAAAAATAACAATAAAACTCCAGTTGTAACTTCAATCTGGTCATCAGTGGAAACATATTGGACAGAAGCCACATTGAATAAAGTTATACAAGTTTTATACTATATTATAATAGCTCTCTTAAGAGCGAACATTATCTTTAAAATGTACAAAAGGTGTTATTCAGTGCCTCTTTATTTCCTGTGCTGCAGAAAACTGTCATATTTGAAACACCAGAGATCAACTTTAAACTTGACGAGCTGAGTTCTGATGTGATACCTTAAGTAGGCACATTAAACCCAGTCATTATGACAAGAATAACTGCCTTACATAACAGCAGAAGAGAAGCTGCTAAGCACTTAATATTTGTCATAATGTCACCAAATGTATAAAAATAATCCCAATAATACATCTTTCTAACAACAAATATGTGATATTTATTTGGTAATTCACTAACAATCTTAAAAAGACTGTCTAGAGCACAAGCAAAATTATATTGAAATCACATAGGCCTACATGAAATTTTGCTGATATAATGCACAGTAATATCCTGTTAGACGGCAGGAACTTGTAGTGACCTATCAACTAAAACAGTTTTTTTGAGTTACGAGAGACACAGTGGATGAAACGCTTAAATCACAGAACACGTCTGTTTTTTTCTTTCACAAAACAAAGAAGAATAGTGCATATCATAGTTAAGTAAGGCAAATATTGAAATTCACTTTTGAGTACAAGTCTAAAAATGTCCAGTAGATATTTTGAACAGGATTAACAAGCGCTGTACAAAATGGAACCCCCCCCCCCCCCGTGCCAATTAAGCTTCATAGTCATAAAGGAGTACAACTTTTTTCATGTGAAGAGGATTTCATCATTTAAAAAACAAAAACAGAATTAGCTTAGATCCCCCTGTTAGAGAGCTAAAAAAAATACAACTGTAAATATTACAGACAGAGCTTTCCAAATCTCAGAAATTCCACTTTTTGAAACAGCCCCAATCCCCAGCAGGACCCTCACATCAGTTCCCTGTAAGTTTTTAGTGCAGGGTTCCACTAAAGTGAAAAATAAACGAACATGAAGATCCCCAAAGAGCAGACGATGACCAGACCACAGTTAAGAAGAGCTTTAACTTTGGGTGATTCATACAGCAACTCTGCAATGACTCTACTGTCCTCCTGCACTGTTTTCTGTGGAACACTCTCTGCTGCTTCTCTATAACCACAAAACCATTCCAGTAATTGCAAACACCTGCTTCTCTCCCCATTAGTATTGCCTCCTTCTTCTGCTCTGGCCATCTCCGTTCTTCCATTACCAAAGCCTTCTGCAGGGGAGGTGGCAGGGGAGGTTTCTGTACTCGGGGTGGCTGGGTCATGGTCAGTGGATGGCACCAGGAGCTTGACATCTGCCCCATCAAAACACCTTTCCTTTCTGACATCTGCAGGAATTTCCTTGCGCAGACTTCCATTGCCGTTACTGAGGCTACTCTCAGTCAGCCTGTATGTTTCATCACGTTCCTTAGCGGGGATTTTTTCAATGTTGCGGAGCCCCCAGAGTGTGGTGGTTTTAATCTGCTGCTCATCTGGTGGAGAGGTGAAGAGGCTAACCACCACAGCCACCAGTCCCGAAATCCAGAAGAGCCCAGCAGCAAAATACATGTAGTGAACTTTAGTGATTAAGGCGGGCCTATCGTCTGCCTGGTCGCAGCGGGGCTGGCGGTAGACAAAAGCCAGGACCAGTCTTATGGCGCCAAGTGTGAAACCAGTCATGCCTCCCCAAAATGCACCTGTCTCATTGCACCGTTTCCAGAAGACACCGAGCAGGAAGAGGGCTGCAACTGGTGGAGTAAGGTAGCCAGCAACTTCCTGGATGTAGAGATACGTCTGTCCGCCTTGCATGTCAATAATAACAGGGACCCAGGCGATGCTAATTGCCACCATGACAATAACAAACATGCGGCCTACAAGAAGCAGTTCCTGTTGAGATGCTTTCTTTCGGAAAGTCTGGTAGATGTCCAGTGTAAAAACGGTGCTTGCACTGTTAAAAATCGAGTCAAGATCACTCATCAGGGCAGCAATCATGACCGCCATCATCAGACCTCTGAGTCCCACTGGCATCACCGCCATGACCAGGCGTGGGTAGGCGATGTTGGAGCAGCCAGCCTGAGAACCGCAGACAGCCATGCAATGCTCCGGCCCGATGCACGCGATCTCGTCTGCAAACAAAATGCGAGAGATCATCCCCGGAATGACTATTAGAAACATCGGCAGGACCTTTAGCATCCCAGCCATGAGGGTGGAGCCCTTGGCGTGGGCGATGTTCTTTGCGGCGAGGACTCTCTGCACAATAACCTGGTCTGCACACCAGTACCAAATAGATGCAGGGGTCTGGCCGAGAATGAAGCCCGGCCATGGGATGTCTTCGTCGAGAGGACCACGAAGGATGCGCAGCGAGTTTGGTTTGGGTTCAATGCGGCAGGAAGGAGAATAGGTGAAATTTCCAGAGGCCACTATCGCAGAGACGTTGGGGACTGCTTGCATGTACTTAATCCTGACGCCTTCCAGTCCACCGACTTTGTTGAGGCTGATGATGGTTAAAGTCAGGGCTCCGCCGATCATCAACACTGCCTGAAGTGCATCTGTGTAGAGCACTGCGACCAATCCCCCGGTGATGGTGAGCACGGCAGTCATGCTGATGAGCAGGAAGATTGATAGATAGAGGTTCCACCCAAGGGACTCCTGAATAAAGAGAGCTCCAGCATACAAGTCCACTGAGAGCTTGGTAAAAATGTAGAGGAACACAGACAAAATAGCAAAATACAATTTCAGCCTGTGGCCACCGTAGCGTTTGGACAGGTACTCAGGCATGGTGTACACTCCTGAGTGGATATACACCGGGATAAACAGCCAGCCCAGCAGCTGCAGAAGAAGAAGCGCATTAAATTCCCATGCTCCAACAGCGAAGCCGCTCGCAGCTCCCGACCCGGCCAGGCCTATGAAATGTTCACTGCCAATGTTGCTGACAAAGAGCGATGCACCAATCACTATCCATGTCATTGAGCGTCCGGCCAGGAAGTAGCCGCTCACAGTGCTGCGATTGGCTTTCCACATGGCAAGAAACCCGATGACCAGCACCAGGACAAAATAAAGTGCTACCACAGCTATGTCCGCCGCCTCCAATCCGGGACCCATTTTTTAAAGATTTTTGGAAAAATGTTTTACGAATCCTTTCAACGAAAATAGTCAAAGTTTTGGATTCAATAATAAAAAAAAAAAAATAGCAATGGAAACGCTCTGCTTTGGTTTGCTGTCTGGATGGAAGCTGTAGTATCCACCGTCAGGTCAAATTCACTAGGTGTGCTTCGGAGGGGGTTATCCACCGGCACTGAGGTCGTTCTAGTTTTAGAGGAGGATGCAGCAGGCCTCTGCTCTAGAAAAGCCTAGAGTTAAAATCCCCTGCAAGACAGCAAAGACAAAGAGAAACATCTCATTAGAGCCTTAGTCTGAGGGAAAACAGCAACCCTTTTACAGTTTTTAGATCAGCCTCTCTTGAGACAGAAACAGGGAGTGTTTAAACTTAACTTCATAAATCCAGAACAAAAAAAGATGACAGAAGACTCCAAACACCACATAAAAATACTGATTTTGCTTAATCTTTTTGCACCACTGCTTTCTTAAGCACCACTTCTTTTGGCGTTCCAATCGTATGACCTTCCTCATTAATCTTTTCACGCAAAGAACTTAAGCCATTCCACTTTATAACCTTCAAAGAAAGCTTAGTTACATAATGTATGAAAACAAGACGAGTCAAAAACCTGTATCCAAGGAGGATGCTGTTGCAAAAAAGTCCTAACACTTTGGGCTTCATCATCCTCGTATGTTGCAATTCTTTCAGATAAAAAACATACCTGAATATAGTTAGTTTTCAAAAGGATTTATTTGAAAAAACACAACACGGTCATTTTCTGCCAGCAACTATGGCAACATGGAACTTTACACAAATACAGAAAGAGTAAAGGACATAAAATGTTCTTTTACATCAAAACAGAAAAAAAAGTAACCTTAGTAAACATGTGAAACCACAATCTTTTGGTTTCCAAACAACAGTAGCCACAGGAGCAACCACTGCACATGTCTAAAGTTAACACGAATTATACAAGTTATACAAGAACATGTTTGTTTTTTTCTATATCATTGCTTTTTAATGTCTGATCTACAATTAATATTCTAATTAAATTGGTTCTTGCTGAAGTTTCCCAAGTTTCAGAGCATTCAATTTTCTGCACAGAGAAATGGCAATGAACATTTTCCCTCCAAAGCGGAGGTGATGCATCTGTAATAAAATTGAATCTCTATGTAAAATCTGTTTTGTGTCCATCTTACACAAACACACCCTCAAACTTGGATGTCTGGACTATCCTGGGATTACAGCCTGCGTTGAGTTGTAGAAATCACCCCACGCATTCGTCTCCACAAACCAGGGTTCATGCATAACCATTCATCTCAATAAAAGAAGTCTTTGTTTTCATTTACTGTACCATCTCATCATCAAGAGCTTCAGCCCATGTGTTCACCATAAACTGTGCAAGACATGTTGGCTCTGAAATACTGCAATGTCATTTAATAGAATTTATTTGCAAAGTTACACAAACTGGGGATTCAAACATAAATCAGTTGTATCCCAGTAAGACAAGACCTACTTACAGAGCTCAAGCCACTGGCAAATAATTTAAAAAAACTACAGTGCTGCCAGTTCCACAGGGGAGCTAACTTTGGCTGATCAATTTGGGTTGACAAAAAAAACCCACAAGTTGAATTCTACTGCACTTCTCCTTTCTGCAACAGATTATAGTGACTTAGGCAGAGTCAAGTTTCATGACTGCTGGCACACTAGACCCCTCTATGAAAAAATTAAACACAAGAGTCAGTGACAGGTACACACAAGCTGAACAAGAGGCTGGTCTGCAAGCTGGGACATGAATGAGGTCCAGAGAAATGTGAGAACTCCATAAACTAAATATTGTGTTTAATCAGTGATATACTGGGAGCAAAACATGTTTTGTACAATTAACAGAAATACTAAACTTTATAGTTATTCTGTCCTTTTTACATTTTACATTAGATTGGCTTTGCTTTTAATTATAAAATGCACATTACAGCAAATCCGGGCTGCAGGTAAGGCAATCTGACGTCACTCGTTCTCCTGTTATAATAAAGATGCTATAATGAATGGCCAGGTGTGGATGACAGCCTGACACTGAGTAGTCAGTATGAGTGAGTGCACCTACAGTGTGAGGCGGAAGGAAATTTCTAGAACACACACTCGTTCATTCAACTGCAAAAAGCTGATCATTGAAGGAGCTCCTATACCTTCAGGTCCAGCTCTCTCAGGTAACACTCCAGGCATGTTGGATTTATAATATTACTCAGGTGTTAAAAATGTCTCTGCCTGGCTGAGGTCATAAAATACAGTAAAGGGTGTGTGTGTGTGTGTGTGTGTGTGTGTCATCTGTTAGTCAGTTAAACACGTTTGCTCAATATCAATGAGACCTTAACTGGCCTTAAGGAAACACAGCTACTCGTGCTGAAAACGGACATAGGCCTCTTCTATAGATCAGATAAAAACATAGGATATGAAGGTAGTCGCTATACTCAGATAAAAACATAGGATATGAAGGTAGTCGCTATACTCAGACTCACCTGTTCCACAGGAAGAAAAACATTTGGACGTTGAAGAAGGAGCTTGTTAGCTACAGTTAGCAGACGCGCTAAAGATGCCCAAACGACCCTGAACGCACCACAGGACAGACGCAGGCTGAATGATGAAGAAGTGACTGCGTCTCTTATCCAGGTTTCACTGCTCCTTTGTTTTCTTGCTGCAGTTGAAATGCAGTGTGCTGTCACCTCGTTGTGGAGCCGAGGTGCCTGACTGACATGCTGCCTTTCCTTCTTATATTCAGATCCACGCCACACCCACACGACGTGACGTGACGTGTTGCTCTAGAAATGTCTTTCACCGACCTGTATATTTATTTAATCTAAAGATGAAAACCACACGACTTATTGTGTCCTATAAGAAAATGTCAATGAAAACGGGAAGCCAGTGCACTAACACCTACATTGCACAGCTTGTCTTAGCTCATTTTCTTCAGTTATTTCAACAGTCAACATGCTCATACAGATGTGCAGTGAAATGTAAAGGCTGTTCCATGCAGTAAACATTCAAATTACTAATACATATATATACAGTAATATAGAAATATAATGTAAAAATTAAAAAAGAAATATTTGAATATGCAAAATATAGAATAATGTAAACAGTGTAAAGTGTCCAGGGTGTCAAAGTTCAAGTTCACGTTATCTTTATTAGTCAAATTCACAACATAACAGGCAAAGCAGTCATATCTGGCAATGACATGTTTGTGTTCCAAGCTCTCCTTAACAATGCAAAAATAAAGAATAGTATAGAAGATAAGAGTAAAAAGAGTAACAACATACAGTGCAATTAAGAACCAAAAGTTTAAATAAAACTAGAATATATGTACAGTATATATATACTATAACAACACCTACACGTTGTAGCAAAGTATTGCCAATTAAGAAATTATAGCTCTTCAAAAGCAATAGTGTACTTCAACTTGAATAAATATGGCATTTAAATGGATATTTGCATGTTTTGACAATTGTTGTAAAGAGTACTCAACTTATATTAGGTAGGCCTAATTGGAGTCATACCATCAAAACATGAACTTCTAGGTTCCACTCCAGTCTGCAAAGACAAATGCATATCAAGGTCACTATAACTTCCTGGAAAAACACCGTTGAAGTTTCTGCAAACTGTTGTAAGTCATAGAAATGACTGGAAGCGCCTCCTCTTGCCTGATTGGTGAAGTGAACTTCTAAACAGATTTAAGGGTGAGGCGTGTGATCCAGAACAATCTAAGCTGCTAACGGTTGATATTAAAGCCTACATACTGACAAAGACTTTTTCAGCACTGGTGTAAATTCTCCCCAAACTGGAATTAGCACCACTTTAAATTCAAAGTGCTCTTAAGATATAGGCGGTTGGAGTTTGACTATAAATAAGTTATTTCATCTTAATACTGTGTGCAGCTCACAGCAGGATTCTTTATTTATATAATCCAGGGCTCACAAAAAACGTATGCATAATAAATTGCAATAAGTAGTCACTGAATCAATGTGTTGCATTTAATTTAAATTGTGTGTGTGTGTGTGTGTGTGTGTGTGTGTGTGTGTGTGTGTGTGTCTGTTCAAAAGACTGCATAATGTTTAAGAAATACTTCTCTTGTAACTATATATTTAGCCTGTAACAGTTGCTACCATTTATGATTGATATATTCTACTAGGGTCTACCACTAATAGACCTAATAAGAATAATAAGACTAAGAATAAGAATAAGAATAAGAATAAGAATAAAATAAGAATAAGAATAAGAAAATAAAATAAGAATAAGAATAAGAATAAAAATAAGAATAAGAATAAGAATAAGAATAAAAATAAGAATAAAGAATAAGAATAAGAATAAGAATAAGAATAAGAATAAGAATAAAAATAAGAATAAGAATAAGAATAAGAATAAGAATAAGAATAAAAATAAAATAAGAATAAGAATAAGAATAAGAATAATAATATTTACCATGAATTAACCTTATACTTACCAAAAATAACACAATGGCAGTAGTAGAAAAATAGGTTTTGACAGGTAGTTATCCTAATGTTGCTGTTATATAATGATTTTATATGTTGTTGTTGTCATCAGGCTCAGACAGGCTCAGATCAGAGAAAAGTGAATGTGGTTATAACTTCCGACAAAACATAGCCCACAAAGTAAATTTCCACTCACCACACCTATATCTTGGAAATTTCCATTGCATAAAAAACTACATTTCCCAAGAAACCCCGCGAATCCGATTGCGTAGTTGTTCAGCGACAACCGGTTTCCGGGGTGGGGGCGGGGCGAGGTAGCGTCACAAGCAGCGGGAAGTGATTCAGTTGTTATTAGTAAGTTAACGTTTCTCTCTTTGTGAAGGTGTTTTGATTTTGAATGTAGACTCGACCATCAGCAGAGCAGTCTCGAACGAAACCATGTTCCTATAGGATGATTCATTTTCTTTAGTTAGGCTGCAAGCAATGTCCCCCATGCTGAAATAATGCCAATTTATCTGCAAATTTAGATATGAGTTAAAATATGACTGAAGGTAGTTTAAAGCTTTGGTAAATCAATATATCTGAGACTGAGACTGTATCATTTCAAAACACATGGTATGGAAAAGTATTTAAAAGCATTGACATATCAAAGATTTTGAGAACCTGCATAAAGCTGAATCTTTACCTCATACAAGAAAAACATCGTGCAGCCTGCTGGTCCAGAAAGCTGCTTCACACACATGACCTACTGCTGAGACGTGGAAGAAATTTGAGATTTTATGTTTGTTTGTTTTTCTTAACTTTACTGTTTGTTTGAATGATATAACGTTTACAAATAAAATAACAAAGAAATAAAATGATACATGCCCAAAGCATTAAATAAAGTTAAACCAATAATGACTTCTGATTTGATGTCTGCTAAGTTGAGTTGTTAATTCCTAAACATGGCACAGGGAAAGCTGTGTCTCTCTTGAAGAGCGTTAACAGCTGACTCGCCTCAGACTCATTTTTAAGATGTTTTTTTATTATAAAGTAAAATGTTTGACTGATGTTATTTAGATCTCATTGCTCTCATGTCCCGGCACTCCAACACTGCAGCTGCACAGATTTCTCACCATTTAAAGACCAGAGCAACAGCAGACACCGGTGTAAAGATACACATTACATGTGGCCTTGTTTGTACATGTTTATTGTTTATAGTGTTACATGTTGTCTTGTTGTGTGCACATTACATTTACTTTAGTAGGTTATTGGATTCGTGCTTTTACTAATACTTGTTTTGGGTTTTTTGGTGCATTGTTCTGTCTGCTCCACGTCTGTCCTGCATGAGATACATGTTTTATTTTAACCAAATGCTGCTTGATGTGTATCCTGCATGGTTTATGTATTTTCTCCTGTGGCTGCTCACCTGTCTGCTTAATTACTGTTGTGATATTTCTATTTTTGTAGCTTTTAGCGATGTTTGAATTTGTTTTTTTAGTGAGCCCTGAATCAAGGGACAACAGATGAAAATTAGCCTTTTGGCTAACTCTGGCATATTTACTGAAATGTTTATTAATATGCAATGTCCCTGTAAAATAAAAAAAATTAAAAATTAAAATTACATCTGCATGCTATTGTTGATGACCTATCTCCATGTTAAAGACAATATAGTGTGACAACCTTTGGCAAAGTAATGACTACAGCAGGTTTAGGAAAGCACCTGCTGCTTTAAGTGATGTAGGTCAACTTCCTTTGTTGTGAATGCAAACATTTCACAACATGACACACGAGAGGGTACAACTCTAACCTTCCAGACAAGTATGTTTCCACCAAATGTGATTTAAATCTCAGAAGTTGTGTATGAGGTTTCTGTTTAACAAACTAAAACCCCCATTGGAGGAGGCAACAAGAAACCCATTGTGTTGTTGTTGTTGTTGTTGTTGTGTACTGACACAAGCGTTTGTAGTATTTATATACACATGGCTATAACCCCCTGCCATTATGTCACATTAGTCACGGCCTGACTATCTTTCAGCCAGCTGACCTCACAGACAAACAGACATTTTACTGGACTGTTAACAGACTGTTTAAGAGTCTGTGCGTGTAACTTTGGTTTTCCACTACAGCAGTGATGTGTGTAACAAATAGTCCAGTCAGAATAGGTGTAGTAAAATCACATACTGAGGGAGCTTAGCGTCATGAAAGCTCTGCAGTCTGAGAGCATAAAATGCAGTCTAAGGAAATATTTTCTTCTAATTATCTAGATGTCTTCCAGGCTTCTTCCCCCCCATAATAGCACTGGGTGTAATTGTGGAAAAAAGCAGAGGCTAGTTTTTGCCAGTTGGCTGTGTCTCAGATTTGCAAAAGTATTTTGAAAAGAAGTTGATACATGAGAAAGTCTGCATAAAAGATCATCCAAGAAATACGATTTTGCAATTTGCATTTCCCATGGACCATTGCCGAACTTTCATACATTTGACTGAAATCTTTAAATTCCATAAAGACACACAACATGAAGCCGTAGGTAGAAGTTGAAGAAAAGCATTGATTCCCAAAAGATTTGTTTAAGGGACATGTTCCGTTTAGTTTCAAAGGTTTGGATGGGATGACAGAGCACAGACTTAAGTTCTTATTGAATAAATGACAGCAGTATTATGGCTGTCTTACATTTGGAGTTTCACAGTTTCAAAATGTCGTTTTCATCCTCTGTCTAAAAATAGATTTTCTATTAATAAACATTTTCTCCATTGGTAAATACTGTAGCATGTCATTCAGTCTTTAAAAAGTTTTCTTTCAGCTGATCTTCTCTGACACTGCCATCAAACATAAACTAAGCACAGAAGATTAAGAAAGAGAATGGCACAGTAGCTGCCATGTGTTTGTTAGAAGTCATATTTAATACATGAAGATATCAAAGGACATGTTGGTTATGCAGACATGAAGACACCAGATTAAATATACAGTAACAGGTTTGTAAAAACTGTCCCCGTAGAGCAGTCCTTTTCTACATTTTATTCAACAGAAGCCTTTTGGTTCTTTGTCACTTTGAATTAATGCGAATTTGTTACAGAATACAAAGAAAGGCTCCGATGTCAGCTCATAAAAAGATATCTTCACATACAAGTTTTTAAAGTTGCCTGTGAGAGAGCAAGCAGAACGGCTTTTTTTTGTATTACAAACCAAAACTTTATAAAGTCATAGCCGTTAGCCTTAAAAATAAAATTAAAATACTGTTCGCCATACCTTTTAAATGTCATTTTATCAGAAAGGAAGTGAAGAAATGTGGCCGTAGGGTCAGTTTGAAAAAATATTTGAACAGCACAGGAGCACCATCTAGAGATTAAACCGTGTACTTGCCAGTCTTTCAGTATATATTGGACAACTAAAGGATGTAAGCAGATAAGATTATATCTGATTTCAAGGTGCAGGGAGAACAAACTGAATCTACTTTTGTCCAAAAATGACTCAGAATCAGAATCAGAATCAGAATCAGAATCTGGGTTTATTGCCAAGTACATTTACACATACAAGGAATTTGACCTGGTGTATTGGTGCTAAACAATTAACAAGGAAATAAAGCAGAACTAACAACAACTTAAATAATACAGAATAAGAAGATATTACAATATATAAAATAGAATTTAAAAATGTAAAATATAAAAAATTAAAAACACAAAATGTACAAAAGGTGACATGTAGGAGCTGTGCAGTGGACTATGAGAAAAAGTCTTAGTGTGTGTAACGACTCACAGAGTGCATGTAAGGAAGCTACATTTTTAAAGTCCAGTGGGTGTTAATGTAATGCATAAAGAACAGAAATGAATGAAGAATGCTATGAGAATATTTTGATGATAATTTATGAAATTTGTTAATTAAACTATGTTGAAATGAAAACTAAAAGGAAGTAGGCCTACATTTAACCTAAGATTAAAAATCCTATTAGTGGACGCTAATTCCTGTCATATAAACTCCAGAAGAAATATAGATACTCACCGATTTATTTATAAAATTTTTATGTGAAGTTAAGCAAACAGTTCATCATCGCTAACACTGATCACTGAAGGTGAGTATGAAATCTGAGTCCCATACCTGCACAGCCAAAGTAAACAAAACTGAGATTTTAATTATATTACCTAATCAGACATTTTCTCAGTTAGTACCGACCCTGACTGAAAGCTCTACACACACATTAATAACAAGTTCAAATAGTATATTACAATTTTAAATATTGGTAATATAGATGAAATATTGATGAAAATATGTCCCTTGTACATGGTACCTCCGTTTTAGCAGATTCAGCGATTAGAGCTCTGAAGGGTTTTGTAGGTAAAACTGGAGTTCTTTTACTCCACATATTGCAAACTGTATCAAACATGTTCTATTTTAGATTATCTGTCAGGAATATGGGGTTACAACAGATTTCAGAAGTCCCAACATGTACTTAAACAGGCAATGGGATTCATTTTTGGGACTCCATGCACCTGTTCTGGTATCTCCTGGAGATGTATGGGGTGGGACTCGTGTGAAATGAGATGGAAGGTCAGCATGGTGCAGCCTGTGGAGCAGCCTCCAGTGCTGACCTGCCAGCAGGGCGGCCAGTAAAATATCTGATTGAGATTTGTCTGTAAGAGGTGAATAGACATCTGAAATATTTAATCTAAAAGAGTGTGGATTTGAGAAAAAAAAATCTAAATTCTAAATCTAAATTAACCAGTGTGGATATGGAGGAGTTTAGATTTCAAGTTAAATGTAATATCATTGGCAGAAGAAATCTGGCAGAAGTCTAAAATGAGGACTCATTATACATTATACACATAACTATTCATTATACAATGTTTTGGTTTATGAACTGGATCAAATGTTATATTTGTGTCTGTATATTGGTTGTATACCTTTTAGTATTTAGGGGTGATTTGTGTTAACTGTGCTGAATGACATACTGGAACATTTGTGAATGTGTCAATATAATTCCAGGTTAAAACTGAGCAGGCACAAAAATAAATATTCATTCATTCATTGTATTATTTTTAGACCTTGCATTTGTAAGCCACAAATAACTGTGTCAGTTGACCTCTATTGTATTTTCTTATCACATGTGCTTTATGTTACCACAAGTTAAAAGTCCCGCTGTGAAAATCTATTCAGCAAGTCTATAAGTTTGGCATTTAGTGTAGGTTGTATCACGTGGGGAAAAAAAACCTTCATTACTTATTCCTCATCAAGACTGGATGGAATTGGAGCAGTACTTTAGTAGGCTTTTTTTATTTTTTATTTTTTTATTTTTGTTATTAAACATTTCTTAAACATTTCTTGCAAATTTACAAATGTAAAAAAACAAATACAAAATATGGTTACATTCTGTACAGAATTGTCAAGGGAACCAGCTGTCAAGTCAATAATTAACAGTTCATCATTTTAACATGTAGAAATGAAATGATAATGTCTTAAAGTGCAGTTAATGAGGTCTGGACTGAATATAAGAAGAAGAAAAAATAGATAAACAATGAATCAAATATACCTGGGCATATCAGTTTTCAGTTTCTATTTCATTGGGAACGTTTCTTTAAAATATCATAAACTGTTTGTGCTATTTTTCCTTTTACAAATTTTAAGAACTTGAGGTACAATTTAAATTCATTCAAAAAACAGATAAAATTGGGGGATGACTTTAAAAATCTATTTTTGTGTATAAAGAATTACTTATAAATTACTTTAATAGACTACTTGCTGATAAAACAAATGTCTGGCTCAGGTGAAGTTGCTGTCAAAGGCTGTGTTGGTTGCATCACTGTCAAGTATCTGACAGAGAGGTGAGAGGTTTGTAAACACGGCACATCCTGGACGATACCAACGCCGGAGGGTAGTGACTTACATCGATGTCTACATTACCATTTTTAAACTCCGCGAGGGAAAAACCGGTTTCCTTTTTCGCTTTTGGCAACTTGAAGATTAACATGTTTTTCCCCTGTATTGACATTTTGACGACGGTTTGAAGACAAACAGTAATTGACTGTACAACATCTCCCCGCCCCACCCCCCTCCTCTGAGAGGAAGTGAGCCGTCCGCCCTGAATCAGCTGAGTTTGAGGATCCCGCCCCGTCAGGACTATCGGTGATCCTCTGGGTGATGTTTGGAGAGACCTGCAGTCTACGGGACAGAAACACTCATCCTCAGGAGAAAGAACAGGTTCGCAGCCTCGTTTTTCTTTGTGAAACATGAAGTAGATAGCTGTACCTCTTGTTGTTTTAGCTCGGTGTTATCTTGTTGTTTTTGTAGTTTGTGAGTCAGTGATGCACCTGATCGCTGTGTTGACGGTGGGTTTGTTATCTCTAACGGTACCGTCTCCTCACAATAACCACAGGACTATATTAATTAATATTATTAATTATTAATATTAATATATATTATTTAATTGCAACCCTATCGTTTAAAAACACATCAAGTTAGCGCTTGTGTTGGCTAGCTAGCTATATCTACGGGTTTTTTTTGTTTGTTTATTTTTTGTACAGAAATGTGCTTCAGCTAGCTGTACACAAACACGTTCACCTACTGTGATATATTTTATATATTTTTTTAATTTTTTTTGTTTTATCACACAGTCTGTGGTTGTGCAGTTATATAATATAACGTTAGCAGCATTAGTCGTGATGATGCGGTTTATTCACAGGCCAGAAAGCTGCAGGAGCCAAACTGGTTTTTGGCCACAGTTTCTGTTGTGTGCACACTTTGTCCTCTCATCCCTCATCCCCTCATCCTCTCATCTTCTCATCCTCTCATCCTCTCATCCTCTCATCCCCTCATCCTCTCATCCTCTCATCCTCCATCTCTCCATCTCTCCATCTCTCCGCCACATTTTCTTATTTTCTGGTGTTGGTGGTGTCAGTCAGGTGACACAGGCTTGTTGTCTGCCATAGTGTGTGTGTGTGTGTGTGTGTGTGTGTGTGTGTGTGTGTGTGTGTGTGTGTGTGTGTCTCCACCCTGTAAGCACACACTCCTGTCTGCAGAAATACATGGTTTTATAGCACTTGCTGTTTTGCTGATGAATGCAATGAGGAAGTGAGATTGTACTTGTCCATAATCGGCCTGCATGATTTGATTATCAAGCTGTCACCTGTTGGGTTTTTTAAGGTCCTCATTTGCTTGAAGGTTGCTCACAATTCAGTTGTGTTTCTGCAGGGTGAAAGGTCAGATCAGCATCCATAATATAGTATTACTTAATTAATATTAGGTATTACTTATTTGAATAGAGAGGCTTTGAATGAAGAAGACTATTATAGAATTATGACGAGGCTGTAGCCAGGATTTTACATTACATTATCATTGCTGTTTACAGGTTCTGTGTGTGGACTTCATGGGAAAGACAGGTCAGTGACTTTCTGATATTTTTAAGATACATTTTTAGGGTAGAAAAAGTAGAAGACTTTTGACCCCATAAGGTGTTTGATGTCATCCCAAGAGAAATATGTAACTTGGTTATAGGTAACCTATTATAGGTAGTAGGTGCAGGATCAGGGCTACTTCCTATACACATACACACAAAAACCGTAACAAATAAAATACATTTAAAAAAGGGGAAAAGTTGTCAAACTTGATTTTCACATAATTGTATAAAATGTTCATTTTTATTTTGCTTAAGAACATTAAAATCAGGATCTGGCAGTAGGTAGAGGGCCTGAGTGATATTTTCAGCGGGGCCTCTGATTTTATTGGGATGTATTTTGGCCAAAAAGTAATAATAATAATAATAATAATAATAATAATAATAATAGTATTATTATGGAACCTTTAAAAACAGATGTTTACAAAATGCTCCGACAGACAAAGCAAAGGCAAGAACTCAGAACAATAACACAATAAACATCAACAGTCAGGCCAAACAACAGGACATTTTCATTACAGAAATCCTGAAAGTTTAAATAAAGTATAAATTGAGTCTTTTTCTGATGATAACTTTAATGTTAGAATATAGACTTGGCCACACCATATAATTTTTCCTGTACTAACTTTTAAACTCAACATAGTGTATCATTTATTATTTACAGGTTTTTTAGAGGGTTTTTTTTTCTTTTAAATGTTCCTTATCTGAACTCTTTGTGTTCTTTATAGTTGTCACTGCTTCTTAATTCACTGAATTTTCCAGTAAAGTTTGCATTGTGAAATGTGTATTCATTTAAAATCTATACTAGTTTGGTATAAAGAATAATTTTCAAAACGTCTTGTACATTTCAGAAGTAACTTATGACAAACATATGAGATGTAGTTGATACTCAGTCCTAAATTGTTAATAAACCCTTGGATGGATTTGGCCTTGTATTGGTTGATATTCGTATTGGTAAGCGATGAGTTAATGGAAGGAAGACTGTCAGTCGCCCGTTTGTCCAGATCTGAAGTCAACACAGATGCTGATGCTGCAATTTTCCTTTTTGCAGGACTAACCTGAAAGTGTTTTGATATTTGATATTTATATTTTGAGTCTGTGAGACAACAACATCCAGAAAGAGCGCACTTATGATTAGACACTAAATTTTTAAATAATTTATTATTTTAAAAAGAGCAACAGATTACCACAGCATTCATAATAATGCTGAATATTTGTATTGAATAAAATGCTCCCATGGATTATTCGATGATGAAATTTAGGATTTTTCATCTTTTTTTGTCAACAGTCTGCTGGTTTTGTTATTAAAACAGAGTCGCTCTGCAGCACGTGTTGTTGGATCTGTCCACGTTGGTAAAGCCCCTCTCAGCTCAGGCACATGCAGTCCAGATGTCTGTGCTCCTCTAATCCTGCTTACCCCCCCCCCCCCCCATCTCTCTGTTTAGCTTTATTCAAATACACTTTATGAACAAACACACAGTCAAACACACACACACACACACACACACACACACACACACACCACTGCGTGTGCCATGTGATTGAAAGCAAGAATGCGGCTCTCTCTGGTTAATACACTGTTTTTATCATGTGGTGCTTTGTTTCTAAGTTTGTTGTCTTTCTTTCTTTCCTATTTCAGTTCCTCAGTTCCTCATTCCTCATTTAAAGCTGCATTTCTCAACATTGATATAAACGATGCATGAAGTGACATTTATTATGGAACTAGCAGCTTGCGTCCATGGAGAATTATCACCTGGCTCTGTATTTTCCATCGGCCCGTCTAAGAGTTTTAGCATTTTTCGGCTCATTTGTTTTATGGCCTAAAACGGTTTGTTTGCAGCTTCAGCTGGCAGCTGTACTCAACCTTCACCAAACAGCAGGCAGACTAAGTGTGTATATGCTAGTGAATTATTTAGCTACTTTAGAGCCAGACTTTTCCCTCATGAGTTGGTGGAGACCAAAACAAAGTTGATAAGATAAGTCTTTATTGATCCTCAGTGGGAAAATTCAAGTAGTAATAGAATTCAAAAGTGGATGTATATAAATAAGTTTTTCAGAAACACAACCCTTAATGGATGCTAGGGTTGCTACATCTCTGCTACATGATTAAAAAGAACATATTGCTACACTAGTGTCTGCTATCCAAGTTTACAGTATCAGCAACATATAAAGTGATCATGCACAAACACCCCCCTCCCACCCGTCACAAGGCCAAACCCTTAAATGCTGCTTGGGCGGCAGTAGCTCAGTCCGTAGGGACTTGGGTTGGGAACCGGAGGGTCACCGGTTTAAGTCCCGGTGCGGACCAAATCTGGAAGCTGGTCTGGTTGCTGGAGAGGTGCCAGTTCACTTCCCGAGCACTACCGAGGTGCCCTTGAGCAAGGCACCGAACCCCCAACTGCTCTGGTGCGCTCTCTGCATAGCAGTCTGTATAGCAGTCTGAGTTTCCGCTGGTCCTGGGTCAGAAAACACACCTAAAGCAACATATTAACAAAGACAAAGCATGTTTATTTCAAACTAAAACATTAGGTACTCACATGAGCATATCCCTCTGTTGAGTTTCTTTTTTCCCCCTGGCATGTCATTTTCTGTTCATGTTCACTGTATAATTGGAGACACAGGTCCTGTTTGTGCATGCGTGTGATTCGGGCCTATGTGTATAAATAACAGAGTGTAAACCGAATTTCCCTCAGGGATTAATAAAGGATATCAAAATCAAAAAAAGATCTAAATGTAAAATGTAAATGTACAGAGCCGAAGAGTCTATGCGTCTGTGTTTGTGCCCAAAAGATAACTTGTTTTTCTCTGAACATGAACGCAGAGCCCCACAGTGTCCTCCACGACAGGTCAATGAGACAAACAGGCACAAGTCATGAATGAGGACATTTGTCTCCATCGCCCTCTGAGCTTGTGTTTATCAGTGAACAGCTAATAGGCTCATTTGATTTGGAGCATCACCCACACACACACACACACACACACACACACACACACACACACACACACAGAGGTATCTGTAGCAGGTTGCTAACAGACAGAGTTTATTGCTCTTGTGAGTTTGATCAAATGTCTGTCTCTTTCCTCTGAAACGTTTGTTTGTTTTTCTAGTCTCTCTCTTCCAGAAATATATTTGCTGAAATGTTGGGATCAGACTGATGCATCATGGACGCTGAGGAGTTAGAACTGCAGAATGACTACCGTTACCGCAACTATGCGTCGGTCATTGAGAAAGCGCTGCGGAACTTTGAGTCTTCCAGCGAATGGGCCGATCTCATCTCCTCCCTGGGCAAGCTCAACAAGGTACAGTCTGATATACTAACAGCTAGTGTTCATTTCTTACTGTTGGAGCTATTTAATTGTTGTTAGAATTAGTTTTGGTGTTTAGTTTACTAATATTTGGGTGTTGTTGTTTATTTAATTATTCTACATGTTTTCTTTATTTAGAATAGATTGTGGGTGATATTTTCTTTTTGCTAGTTATTTGTTTAGTACATTTAGTTCTGAATTAGTATTTTTGTTAGGTATTGGGTAACACTGTGGGCACCAGAGGTTATTTAAGAGGCAGGTAGAGGACCAGCATGCACCTGGGTGGGCCTATGAGAGGCAGCAGGAGACACGATTATCTTTGTTCTTTTGTTTGCTTGAACCAAATAAACTGCAGATCTCTTGCATGGACGTTGGATTTCTTTTGCCTGCGTACATCACATTCCCATGATGCATCAGTGGTCTTTTGATTATGTTTGATATTAGTTTATTTAGATTTTTACTTTACTTCGTATGTGCTGACTGTGCTCAAAGCATCGATCTATATATGTTAATATAATGTCAGTATGTGGTCTGTTATATAATGTGGTCTTTTTTAGCCATCAACATTTTGTGGGTATCAGTTTCTCAGCTGCATAGTGTGCATGTTTCACTTCTCTTTACCTATGAGGAAGTTCAAGTTTCTTATTGAAACTCTTCTAAAATGATCTACAAATGAATGACCCATATCTTCCTGATTATTTGGGGCCATACTAGATATTCCACCTTTATTAGAACCTGTAGAGCAGTTATTAACTTTGGAGCGTCTGCACAAGTGAATCCACAGAAACTGAGCCTCACAATACACAGAAGCTGTAAGAACAATCTCATCCCGCCTTAAACACGAAACAATAGATCGGAAAATCTACATCCAAATGTCTGTCTGTGTTTATTTCTTTTATTCGATTATTGAGTAAAATTCTTACTTTATAAGTTCATTTTATTTATTTTTTAATTTAACCTTTAACCAGGTTTGTCCCTTTGAGATTAAAAACCGACAGACGGAAATACAACAAGAGACACAGTTTACAAAACACAACATTTTGGATTAAAATA